CCCCCCCCCCTCTTAAGGATCCATCCCAGATATTTACACGTCAAAAGTGGCCCTGATGTGGGTGCAAGAAAGGTATGGTGAACATTTTGTAAGCCAAACGTTTACAAATAGATGGTTATTTCATTCCACTCCAACTTGAGCGCTTTCAATTATACATTTGGCTTTTTTGGGGGAGACAGAGTCTAGGGAAACAACCCACAAACAATCCAAAAGTTGAAACTCAATGCAATGTTAACTTGACGTCCAAAGAATTGACCCAGGAATACGGCATGCGGTTGTTCAAATTTTCCAGTCGCGTATCGTGTACTCTTCACACACCGGTAACCTAACAAGAAGTGGGATAACAAATTAGTTTGAAAAAAGTGAAATAGTGTGGGCTTAGCGCCCATATCAGCACAATGTATGGTCTAGAAGTTAATGTGTTTGCCTCTCATTCAATAGGTACCGAGTTTGAATCCGGACAGCGACGGAATATTATTTTCTCTAAAATGTTCTCCTTTCACGTTCTTTCCTGCTCTCTTACAGTGTCCTGCGTCTGCTTTCGTCTCCACTTTCTACCCCCACTCATTCACCTCCTTTGCCCTTCCTCTGGACTCCTGACTCTTTCTGCATCCTTTCTACTGCCACTCCTTGGCTTCTTCTTACTGCTGTTTTTCAGCCACTCCCCTGATCTTATGATAGGTAAGAGCTACTACGTAGCCTTCTCGGATAAGGGCGAAAAATCTATGTTTGGGGAGTAGTTTTACCGAATATATCGGTCTTTCTGCTGAGACTTTGTATACTTCTTCCAATATCAGCATGAATTGGCACTGACAGGCAGTGTCGAAAGCAGCATCTTAAATGATCCACAATGTGTCGATGGAGGAAGGGGGGGGGGGCGCGTAACATATTATAAAAAATCCCCCCCCCCTCTCTCTCTCTCTCTCTCATCCCCACACACAAACACACACACATACAGACACACACACACTCACACACACACACCTCTTCTCTCCCCCCTTATTTCAACAAAACCTCCAGACGTATTCTTCTTTCTCACAAAACCCTACATTTACGCTTCCCCATTTGCTCTTCTCCCTTCTCTCTCTCCTCTTCATTCCCTCTCTTCGGTTCTTCTTTTCATCCTTCTCTTATCCCATCCCCTCTCATTATTTCCCTCAGTTATCTTTCTCTTGTGATTTATTGATTATATGAGGCATCTGTGCCTCTGAGTGCCTCAGACATTCTCCTTCCCATCCCATCTTGGTATTTGTTCAAGATTCTGTCTTTATCGCTCTTTTCCTCACCTATCTTTTATTACCTACCCCACCCCCCACACCCCAAGCCGCACACACTTATAATAAGCCAAACACAGCCCCTATTCTTCCTTTCTCAGAGCCTCACATCGGCACAGGCTCTGTCCAGCTTTATCGATCAAACAGCGCAATTAAGATTGATGTGAATTCAGCTGAACAAATGAGAGTGCCCAACATGGCTATGGGCAAAGCCAAAGGAAGAAAAGGAGATCGGAAAGGAGAGAAATGTGGCCGACACAAAAGAATGGAACTGGAGAAACATGATATTACGTATTGTAATGCACGAGCCTCTGCCTTTTAAGGCTTGCATTTGGCGAAAAGTTGAAAGAAAACAGCGATTGAATGGCAAAGCTTTACGCCATTCACACCCCCCTCCCAAGTTAATGAATGATTAACACTTGCAAAGCGGATGGTCTAAGCCAGCTCGTCTTTTTTTGTTTTGCATCTGATCGTCTCGATTTACTTTACATAATAATATCTATACCGGTGCTCGCCCCTCCTCCTATCCCTCCTTCTTATGTAAAATTTCTCCAACACAAAAACACGTTCATGTCCTTCGCTTCCCCTTCCCCTAACTTCTCTCTCTCTCTCTCTCTCTCTTTCTCTCTCTCTTTCTCTCTCTCTCTCTCTTTCTCTCTCTCTCCCTCTCTCTCTTTCTCTCTCTCTCATTCTCTCTCTCCTCCTCTACCTCTTTCTCTCTCTTCCCGCTCTCTCTCTCTCTATCTTTCACACTCTCTTACACACACACACACACACACACACACACACACACACACACACACACACACACACACACACACACACACACACACACACACACACACACACACATTGTAAGATAAGCTGAAAAGTGTCTTTCGCCCTTGACGCCAAAGCTATCCCCCCAAAAAAATAACCCCCCCCCCCAGTAAGTGAAGACCTCGGATACTATAGGCCATGACAGTTGCAAAAGCGTGACTTAGTTCACTTTTACCAAATAAAAACGTGGAACAGAAGGCAGGGTTGGGCTGCAATTCGCTATCTTATCAGTGAGCCTAGTTAAGAGTCTCCAATAATCGTATGATCATAATATGTTTTGCTAATGCATTCCTTTCTTTCATCTTTCATTTTTTCCCCTCAGGTCACTGCTCTACATTGTAAAGCGATTCCCTTCTTAATTAACGTTTTGGATAGAGGTGGGCAAAATCCGGATAATCTATCCAAATAACCGGATAATTAGCAATGAAACATTGTCCGAATTCAGACTCTTAACCCACTTTCCTGACCTGCTTGCCGAAGTGGGTGTACTCATTTGTTGAAGTGATGCTAACCCGTTTGTCGAAGTGGTTCTAACCCATTTGCAGAAGCAGTTCTATCATATTATTTGCCGAAGAGGTGCACTAACAAAGTATCCGGATTTTGCTAAAGCGACTCATTGCCCAACTCTAGTTTTGGATTGTAAGCTTATGTGGCACACACAAAATAATAATAATGATGATAATAATAATACTACTAATGATATTAATAATAATAAGGATAATGATAATAATAATAATAACAACACTATAACAATAACAATAAGAGTAATAATAATAAAAATATTGTAATAATGATAATAATAATAATAATAATAATAATAATAATAATAATAATAATAAAAATGACAATAGCAATAACAATGCATAACAATAACAAATACAGAAATAATAATAATGGTAATAATAATAATAATAATAATAATAATAATAATAATAATAATAATAATAATGATAATAATAATAATAATGATGATAATAATAATATTAATAAAACAAAATATGGTCGCAATGAAGAACAACCGTGAGATTTGTTCAGCTGTGTTTCTGGGTAAATTAATTTTATGTGTCAGGTTGTTGGGTTCTTTTTTAGTCAAAACAAGCATACTTCTTTTGCATATGGAAACATCGTCGACAAACTGTTCAAATGCAATAAACCAGAAAAGCAACATGTTTAAGGAGAGAGAGAGAGAGAGAGAGAGAGAGAGAGAGAGAGAGAGAGAGAGAGAGAGAGAGAGAGGAGAGAGAGAGAGAGAGAGAGAGAGAGAGAGAGAGAGAGAGAAAACTTTTACAAATTGTAATTCAGTTACATATTTTTTCTTAACTTTTTTGAGTATTTAAAGTTTGACCTTGGACTAAATATTTCACGAGCATAGCATCAGATACCATTATATATTACGAAAATAGAGAAACCAAAATTGGGCTTAGTATATCTGAACAGCTGGCCAATGATAATATGTGAGGTAGCGTGGTGGAATCAAGATCTTGTCAAAATAATCAAAGTGCAGAAACTTGTATTTTTCCGCAGGTTTGGGAATTTTTTTCAAATTAAAGAACTCTTTTCTGATTTGATTTTTCTGAAAAACGTTGATTTAAGGTACAAAAAATGTAAATGTTCAGTTACCACGGACTCTTAAGCTAAGGAAATAACTAATCTTTGGCGGCCATTTTGTTTACTAACTTTACCTCTAAAAACAGGTGACCCCCATCTCCTTCATTCAAAAATATCTGTTCTTGTATTAAAGATAAATGGATATTTTTTCAACCAAGTAAAGACAAGTGAACAAGCTTTAAGATGATACCAATAACTCTACATGGCCAAAATTTGACGAGAGCTTGATTCCACTACGCTGCCTCACATATTATCTTCTGATGAGGTTGGTGTATGTAGTTGACGACTTAAAGAAAAAAAAAAGGTTTCAGTTCAAGATTTACGGCACTTGCAACATAATTAGATCACTTAAATGCTTATCCCTATCCGTACGTCGTGTTTTCCTATCGTATCCATACAACTTCTAAAGAGGAAATTTACTCGTTAATGGGATCCGTACGCTTTGCATAGCAGTCTGTCAAAATGATTTTTTGAGAAATACTGAAATTTCAAAGAGATTTCAAAGAGAAGCATTCTAAAATGTGAAGCATACAACCCTGGGGGTACAAATGACCTCAGGGTGTACAGATAGGGTTAAGATTAGGGGTTTGACTAGAGGGTAACGTACAAACAAAGAAGGAGGAGGAGAGATAAGACATGATGATATGTAAGAATGAGCAAACCACACCAAAGCATCTGTCAGTCGCCCATGTAGCTGGCAAACACTAAAAAGTATGTCCTCAGCGAATATCCGTGTTTAAGGAGTCAGATCATGATTATAAAACTTTACCTCTAAGAAATGAACAGGACAGTGTTCTTCTACACACACCCCAGTCGGCAAGCTAGAGGGAAAGCACTTTGCCCATAGATTGGACGAGATCTACAAGAGAAAATTGTGAAAATAGTCCACAGCAAATCAAGCACAACGGACTCAACTACATCTTTTGGACAATTATTGAGTAACAAAAACAGCCATTGCTCACTTACGCGGCGAAAGAAAGGAGGAGTAATAAAAAAAAGGTCTCTCCTTTTGATGTTGTCAGCTCTTCATTCCCTTCTTCGTTCGCCGTTATCACTAGAATAACATAAATTAAAGTATCACAACAAATCAGTAGCTTCAACGTATTGCCTTAACTCCCGCCTCAAACAGCATCCCAGAGATTTGGCGGTCTGCCCACGAGGCGTGCGCCTTCCATCAGCGGGATTTTCCGGTGACGACATTGCTGGACATTTTTCAGAGGTCTTCTGATGGTCTCAGGGAAAATGAGGCCGGCTACACCGATACTTGCCATCATAGCTCCATACACCACAAAAGGCACAGTGTAGTGGTACTGCTCCTGGAGATGGCGGGGTGGAGGTGGAGGGTAGGGAGGGAGGGGAGGGAAAGAAGGGGAAAAAAAGGTTAACTCTTTGAGAACTCTCATTCTGGCCCTTTAACTCTTAGAATACGGAAGGCTATTCCTCCGTTGATCGAATTGTGCCAAAGTGGTAGCTTTTGCCCCTCTGTGTGGCGTCGGTGACATAGTGGCTCGGCTGATGGGCTCGTAATCGTGAGGTTGTGGGTTCGAGGGTTCGAGCCGCGGTCCCGACGTTGTGTCCTTCGGGAAGGCACTACTCACAACGTTTCCACACTTCCCCCAGGTGTGAATGAGTACCCGGGCATAGGTAACGAAATATCTTGTCAGTATGTTAGTGTTTTAGCTCCTATAGATGGCTGCTTGCACTGTTCGCTTCCCAGGAAGTTGAGATTGTTTCAGAATGCTCTCATGTCTGCTGGAGTAATAGTATAGATTGTGAAGCGGAAAGAGCTTACTGTTGAGCGGGGATTTGCGCTATACAAATGCTATCTATTATTATTACGCAACCAGTTCTACCATTCAAGTTTTCAACATCCTAAACTTCCCTATACGTTCTCGGCTCCTATTTGATCCCATCTGCACAAAATAATCACCAAACTGAGTAGAAATGAATGAACCCAGCCACAAAACTTACAGTTTGAATGTAGGTCAATTAAGTTTGCTGACGTTTGGTAGATTTTTGTTATGACTTTAAACAGCCGAGTGATGCCGTGAGCCGGCTGGACTGAAATGCTATATGTGAGGCAGCGTGGTGGAATCAGGCTCTCGTCAATTTTGGGGCATGTAGAGTTATTGGTATCATCTTAAAGCTTGTTCACTTGTCTTTATTTGGATGAAAAATATCCATTTATCTTGAATACAAGTCAAGATATTTGCGAAAGAAGGAGGTGGGGGTCACTTGTTTTCAGAGGTAAAATTAGTGAGAAAATGGCCGCCAAAGATTAGTTATTTCCTCCTTAGCTTTAGAGTTCGTGGTAACTGAAAATTTACATTTTTTGTGTGCCTTAATTCAACGTTTTTCAGAAAAATCCACCCAGAAATGAGTTCTTTAATGGGCATGAAAGGTGTTGAGGCAAAAAACAAAAATTTGATAAAAATTCCCAAACCTGTGGAAAAATGCAAGTTTCTTCACTTTAATAATTTTGACGAGAACCTGATTCCACCACGCTGCCTCACATATACTAGGAGTTACAACAACTTTTGAAGACGACCTGTTTTGGGGGCACATTAAAAAAAACGAGCATAACTTTGTTCGTTGTTCATACAGATGTTTTCACTTCTGTTTACTTTACCTAAAACTTAGAACAAGGTAAGCATATTATGAAATGTCATGCTAATTCATGTTTATAATTTATATGTGATGGTTCGAAATATGCCGCTACATTACCTTTGGTCTGCTGATGAACGGACAAATGTGATTTATCGTGGTGAAATCAGGCGCTCGTCAAAATAAAGGAATTAGAGAATCTGGCATTTTTTCGTCTGGTTTGGCAATTTTTATCGAAACTTTGATTTTGGCTCAGTACCTTTTATCTTCGTTTGAAAATCCATTTTTCTGGTGTGCATTTTACAGAAATACGTTGATTTGATTAACGCTACAAAAATGTACATTGTCAGTTTCCACAGGACTCTCAGACTATGTAATTAACCAAACTTTGGCAGCCATTTTCTTGCTTATTCTACCTCTGAAACCAAGCGACCTCCACCTCCTTTAATATCCAATATCTCGAGTTGTATTTAAGATAAATTGCGTATTTCCTTTTTCAAAAACAAGGCTTTAAGGCGTACCAATGACTCCATATGCCAAAAAAACCCCTGACAATCGCCTGATTCCACCGCGTCTTGACACAAATAATACTGTCCGCTGTGTCCTCAAAGAGTTAAGATTATTTTCTCGTACAATAATTATAGCGTTTGCCGACTGGTCATATCCATCCAATCTGCATGGCAGATCGATATCGATTCTGTTCCATTAATAGCGGCGAAAGCACACACTTCATTGGATAGTCCCCTGCCTTATTTTATTCAAATTGTACGGAAGTCCATTTGGGGTTATCGCATTTCACACGAAAACCAAAAAAATTGACAACATAATGCCTAGATCTAGTTGTCTTCAAATTTTTTGTTTCCATCAAACATACCAAATAGTGGCCATGAGATATTTTTTAAAAACATGACAGGTCTTGTAAAAATTCCTCTAATTGTGCCAAAGTGGTAGCTTTTGCCCCTCCAGTAAAAGAAAAAACCCGACCACCCTCAAATGTATCAACTATATCAACCGTATCAAATGTATCAACTCTATCAAAATAAATGTACAAAATGTGTCAAATGTGTTCAATGCACCAAATATCAAAATCAATTTATCAAATGTATCAAAGGCACAGAAATATCAAATGTATCAAATGCATCAACTCTTTCAAATGTATAAACCGTATCAAATTATGAGTTTAAAGTGTCAATATCAAAATAAACTGTACCAAAGGTACCAAATATCAAATATCAAACATAACAACTGTATCAACTATATAAAATGCATACAGATAGACCGTGGCGTCGGTGGCCTAGTGGCTAGGCTCTCAGCTCGCAACCGTAAGATCGTGGGTTCGAACCTGTCAGGGACCCGACTTTGTGTCCTTAGGAAAGACACTTTACACGAATTTTCCTCACTTCACCCAGAGGGAAATGAGTACCCAGCTATAGACAGTGAAAGATCTTGTCAGCTTGGTAGTGTTTGAGCGCTTAATCAGCTGTTTTCACTGCATGCTTCCCGGGAAGCTGAGAATGGTTTGCTGGGGTAATAATACAGTGCAAAGCGCATAGAGGTTGCTGTAGAGCGTGGTTATGCGCTATACAAATGCTATTTATTTTTTAAAAATTATTATTATTGTTATCATTACTATTGTTATCATTATTGTAGTTATTATTATTATTATTATTATTATTATTATTATTATTATTGTTATTATTATTATTGTTATCTTGAGAGATATTAATGCAGGCTACTCACAAGGAAAGTAAAAGCGCTGGAGAGCATGGCTCCACCGGAGGCAGAAGCCACTGTTATAGCGACACCCATACACCTGGGGAATAAGCGAAGGAAAAATATAATCATCATCATCATCATCATCATCATCATCATCATCATCATCATCATCATCATCATCATCATCATCCCCTGCAGCAGCAGCAGCTGCAGCTGCAACAGCAGCAGCTAAAGCAGCTAAAGCAGCAGCAGCAACAGCAACAGCAACAGCAGCATCATAATCATCATCATAACTTCGATTAAAGAACACAGGATCTGAGAGCTTTACAAATTCAATAGCAAGACAAAAGCAGCACGTTGGGTTCTGACTAAAAGTCGTGTCTTTAATCTAAAGACAAAGGACTCGAGCCGACTTTTGAAAGATTCACACAATTTGATATCTCTAAAATTTCCAGGCAGAGCGTTCCAGATTTTGGGGGAAAATGCGCTTTCCGTTTACGCAGAGAAAGAGTGTGAGAGAGACACACACACACACACAGAGAGAGAGAGAGAGAGAGAGAGAGAGAGAGAGAGAGAGAGAGAGCTAGAGTGAAAGAGAGGCGGGGACTGAGAGAGGGAGCGAGAGATGGAGTGAAAGCCAGAGTAAGAGTGATCGCATAGTGAAAGAGGGATGGGAATGAGTATGGAATCTGAGTTGAAATGTATCTGAAAAAATGTATGTTCATTTAGGGACGCGAAGTAAAAGTATATGCAGCCCAACGACGTAGAGTATGTTAACAGATGAATAAAACGAAAAACAGGTAGATAGATACTCAGATAGACAGATAGAAACCATGTTGAATAAACTTGTCAAGATGAATGATTCGATTTAATTATATATAAAGGAGGATGCAAGAAAGCCCATAACAGTCTAACGTGTTGCGAAGATCACCCTATGAAAAAAAACCCGATGCTAACAACATCAAAAACCCTTTGAACAAAAAGCAAAAATACGAAAAAGTAAAAAAAAAACGTAAAAAATCCCCACATCATGAAGTACCCAATCAGACGCATTTACTGATGCTTCCATCCAAAACCACTGGAGAGGCCTCCTTAAAAAAAAGACAGCTCCGACTTCATGGGGTATTTATAAACTGCAAACACAAACTACCCTCGCCTTTCACGCTGTGCCGTTTATTCTAGAGAGAGAGAGAGACATTCACGTCTCTGAAGGAGTGCCCGCCTGCAAAGAGAGAGGCATAACCGGCTCGTCAGAGCACAAGAAAATTCGCGTAAACAAGATTACCATCACTCTTCAGGGGATGGACATTTGATCTTGCCTCGTCTTTGGAGAGCGGTAAAAATATTTGCTGCAGCTTTCAGGAAGAATTGCTCTTTCCCTTCAGAGGCTCCAAATATCTCAAGTTATGGATAAAGCCAAGGCGTTAATTTGAATCTAAATAAGAATACTTTAGAGAAAGAAATAATTTATCACAGACAGATATGGCTTTGTGTGGCTTGGCATTACGTTGGAGGAATATTACTTCTGATTGTATGCGCAATCCAATATTCCACTGAAATGCTGAATCGTATTTTTACTTAGACGTGTTCGAATATGCAAATCGCCTTGCCTGAAAGCGGAGTGCGGTTACTAAGATGAATGATGTGTTCTTCTGCAGATTCTCTAGCTCTGTCTGTCTGTCTGTATGTTTGTCTGTCTGTCTGTCTGTCTGTCTGTCTGTCTGTCTGTCTGTTTGTCTGTCTGTCCCCCCTTTCCTCCCCCCCCTCTCTCTCTC